TCTTTGTTGTGTAAGAAAACTTCCGTGGTTGTGGGTATTTTTTTCAGGGCACAACAATGCATTCGTTCGGGTACAGAGCCAATGCCTTGCTCACCTTCGCCATCACTATTCTCGCACTAATGTGTGCCATGGCCTCTTTCTCCGACAACTTCAATACGCCGTCTCCCACCTCACAAGTCCAAGTAAACTCTGATTCCTACTAAAATTCAGATATTGTTACCCTTTAGACGGTTTTGGTGTGGTTTAGTGTTTGTTTATCCCAATATGATTTTGATTGATGCTGAGGCCTTGTTTATGGTGTTTTAGGTGTTGAACATTAATTGGTTCCAGAAGAAACCGGATGGTGATGATGAGGTAATTCATTAGTTTCATCCTATTCACGTAGTTCGGTCTTGCCTTGTGGCGCTATAAGAAGTTATTCGTTCTCTTCTCACTCTATGTTCTTTTGGCTTTCCTCTTCCTATTTTCTCCTTTTCTATTCTAGGATGATAACTAGAAGTCTAAACTTGGTATCAATTTGAAATTCCTTTGAACAAATGTTTTTTTATTTATTTCCCATGGTGATGTGAACATTATACCAAGTTAGCTGTTGAGCTTCCAACTTCTTGTGGCCCCTTATAAGAAACAGTAAATATATGGTCATTGGCATGGTGTTTTAATGAGGGTTTTTTACAATATGCAGGTGAGCTTGACATTGAACATATCAGCAAACTTAGATTCACTATTTACGTGGAATACAAAGCAGGTTAGTCCTTTCATAGAATATTCTCATTTTTATCCCGTAGATATCTTCTATTTGCTTTTGGTGAATTTATGTTTGACAGATATTTTTATATTTATTTGTGGATTTTGTTGGTTTTGTTTTAAATTTTGTATTTTACATGAGCCCAGAAGGTTGATTTGGTTGTTGGTAGCCGAGTTTAAGATACAGTCATCATCATTACTCTATTATCTTGTGCAAAGCTGTCAAAACCTTTTATGTTTGCTAATAAATTGATGATTGATCACTGATGGATTAAAATTAAACGAGTCTGTTTAACAAGACCCTGAGGGTAGCCAAATTTTGCTATAGCTTCGTGTACTTCAACTAGTACCTGAAGGATGTATGCTGTGATAGGGTCCAATATGTAGGTGAGCAGAGAGATGAAAAATATTAAGTGCCATCTCTTGTCTCTATAGATATAGTTGGCTTTTATCTCTAAATTTCAAGCTTCTTATTGCTATCGAAGCTCATTTGGATGTGGCAACCAATTTCTTTGAATTTCAGGTCTTTGTATTTTTGGCTGCTGAATATGAAACTTCTACAAATGTGCTTAATCAGGTACGCTAATATGCGAGTCAATATCAAGCTATTTTTATAATATATGATCTGTGTGTTATAGATTATGCATGTATAGTTATCAAATTATTTTCAGCATTAGAGTTTGTATGTGTTAGTTCCTTGGGTTGCTATTAGTGTGATGTTTACGATCTCTCTTTCTCTCTGTCTCTCTCCCTCTCTCTCTCTCTCTCTCTCTCTCTCTCTTTGTCTCTCTGTCTCCCTCTCCCCCTTCTTCCTTTTTGAATGCCAATGTTAGTTTTCTTCTCATCATATGATCTTTGATAACTTACAAGTGGAAGATAATTATGTAGCTTTTTCCTTTTTGTGGTTAACCTGCAGGAAGATTTTCATTATCATATGCTTGCTAGATCTCCTGTAATATCCATCACGTGATATATTTATTAACATCAATCTTTTAGTGAAATAGGAGGCAACTTAAGGATTTAGCAGCAGCTGCCTCTAGTTCCCACTCTATCCTGGTGCAACTTCGGCCAAATTCAGTTTAATGCCGAACAAAATTAAGTCTGATAATAGAAGATGATAGTGTTTTATAGATATAAAAATAGCAGCTAGTTGGATAATTTCTGTGGAATTCGAAATTTAGAACCCTTATCGTGACTGGTTTAGTATTTGGTATATAAGCAACCTTTTATATGTTGCAATAAAAGGTTAACTCAATTAATACGTGTATTTCCTGGGTAACATGTGTGAAGTAAACCATGCAATTGAGGAATTTACAAGGGTAAGGTCTGCGTACAACTGACCCCCCAGACCCCAACCTGTTGGGAATATACTGGGTATGTCGTTGTTGTTGTTGTTGTATGCATATGCAGAAGAATACGTAAATGACACACTAGGAAATAATCATAGTGTGGTTGCAGAAGAATGTATATTCTTCATTTGATCCTCAAATTTATATACAAGAGTGTTCATTCTTACTTGCTTGTTTGCTTATTCATCTCTTGCAAATACACATGCATAACAATAGCATTTATAGTAGTATCAAAAACCACTCGCTTAATTCTAAATCCCATGTATTACAACAGGATTTGGTTCTAGGATCTCTTTTCCCCTAAATTTTGCTATGAGATTAAATTAAAGAAGTAAAGTGCCAAACCCATATAACTGTTATGTAATACAGTAACTGAACTTTATATTCATTCTTTTTAATGGCAGGTGATGATGTGTTGCAGTAAACAAATTTATTACATATTTTCTGACTTGCATCTTTGTTATCTTTATGTAATTTGTCTTTGTAGGTATCTTTATGGGATGGCATTATACCTTCCAAAGAACACGCTAAGTTCTGGATTCACACAACTAACAAGTATCGTTTTATTGATCAAGTGAGTTGTTCTTCGCATGTACTTTTGTCTCTTTAGTCTTAGCCGAACTTTTATATAATCGTTATTTTATATTTATGTATATTATGTGTTGTAGGGAAGCAATCTAAGGGGCAAAGACTTTAACTTAACACTGCATTGGCATGTCATGCCTAAAACGGGCAAGATGTTTGCAGACAAAATAGTCATGAGTGGCTACCGTTTGCCACAAGAATATAGATGAAAATTATTTTCTCGTGACCACACAAAAGGTTAGGTTGGTATGTATGAGTTACGAGCACTTGAGGACTAAACGAGAAAAGCAAAGGTGAAGTTAATTAATACTGAAGACGAAACTATTCAATGGATTTCAATCTCTTGTAGGATCTATAATTTAAAACCTCTGAAAAACTTCACCTCAATGTTGGGCTATATGGTTTACCTGAATTTTTTGGCTGTGATGAAAAGTGATAACCTTTGACCTTTAAGACTATATGCGTTTTGATGATTGTTTGAAAAGTGATAACATTAAATGCTTTTTGATGATTGTTACCTTTGAAGCTTTACTTGATAATAAATTCGTAACACGGAATGGAAATTGGGTTAGATTATCATTACTTTGGCATTAAATAGGATGCTCGAGCTAATGGAAATACACGGTAGATTGTCTTTTAGTTTATAAAAGATAATTGGGAATGCAGTTTGTATGTTAAGATAATTGGGAATGCAGTTTGTGAGTAAGAATTCAAGTAATTCGTGTCATATGGATTTTAAGTGCAGTTTGTTCAATTGGATCTAACGATGGTCAGTTGTGTGGGAGATTGTAGTCTCTCTTATGGAGAGTTATAATCTTCCTGAAGGTTAGTAGTCTCTATAATAAATATTTTATCTCATTAATACAATATCTCATTAATTATTATAAGAAAATTCATTAATAGATAAATCATTTCATCACCAGTTGGTGTATTAATTTTCTCAATATATGTATAGATTTGAATTCACATTGCACTTTTCTATTATAATTTATTATTGTTTTTTATTGTGCGGAAGGTTTGGACAGTTTGGTAAGATATTATTTCACCATTATTGTGAAGATGGACAGCCGACTGAAAACATCAAAAGTGTGTATTGTTTTTTTTTTATAATTCAATTCATACTCAAATACTTAAAATCTAACTAAATATTGACTCAACTCTATTATCTTCAATATTATTAACATAATTAAATAATATCAATTAGTTATTCTTACACACCATATTAATTTTAATTCACATTCATCCACTTATATAATTTTAACTAACCATCACTTCACATCATCGCTATTCTACTTTTAGATCAAATCAACTTTAGATATTTATTTTAAATATTATTTTATATAAATTAAAAATCTCACTAACAACTAACCATACTAAATTTTTCAAAATTAATCCTAGTTAAAAAAAAAATCATTTTGAGCAATATATTTGTATCCAAGCATGCGTCGTCTCAACTCCAAAGCAGGGGATTATTCAAGGAGAAGTAATTAATATAATTCATAAAAATTATATATATCATTGGAAAGAGGAAATAGGACCTTCATTAATTTCAGGAAATTCAAATTGCGTTGAAGCCGAAATAAAAGAATTCCTTCTCACATTGTTAGTAGTTAGAGATTTATCACTAGTAATAATGAGACAGAATATCTTTGGTAAATTTACATTAAAAAGCTACTTGATAATTGATGATATGTTAATTTGATAGTTTATAAATTAATTATAAGTTAATTTTAAGTCTGATAACTTGTTGCTAGAATTAAAAATAACTAATAAGTTAGTTGAAACATGAATTTCTAACATACCTTTTTAAATTGCTTGGTTGAGAAACATCTAAAACAAAAAAGAAAAAAGAATCTCAAACTTTTTTTAAAAGAAAAAGCCATACTATATATCAAAAGAAACTTATTTAAAACAAAGTTATAAACTAACCAAATAATTGTTTGATAAATTTATTTAAAAACAAAATGATTATAAACTAACCAAACAAGTTGTATATAAGTTATATTCCCTCATATTTTTATTATTTGTCACTCTGACTTAATTGATCATTGATTAAATAAATGTCGCTTTAACTATTTTGCTCATATTTCTCTATTTTTAATCCTCAATCTAATATACAGTGTTTCTTCATATCCTATCTCTATCGTTTCCCATAACATCCATTAAATAGGGTTAATATTGGCAAGAAAAATTTTTTTAATTAGCATGTTGCTTTTTAAAACGACAGATAATAAAAATAAGAGGAAATATTATTTATCAAAATTATCATAAGAACAAAATCAGTGAACATAAATTAATATATGTCAGGTGCTATAATTCTTCAATCATAAATTTGAAACCTAATGCTTCTTTATTCGCCACAACACACTCAAGCTTAGGTGGAGTCAAAACAGTTGCGAAATATTATAGCCGCTTTATATCTATCTACATCTTAGTAAATTATGGGATGCCGCATTTATAA